ATCTCCTGTTTCTGGAAAGTTCCCTGGCTTTCTGTGGTTGCAACCGTTTTAATGTCCAAAGAGATAAATGTTTGATTTCTATCTAGCTTCTTGGGCTATCTTGCTCCTTCCAAGAAACATGTTCTTCTCCGTCCTGCTTTTCCCCTCAAGCAGGAGATTCAAAGTCAACTGTAGTTGTGACTAACTCTCTCTCTCTCTCGGTGTGTGTGTGTATGTCTGATATGTGAATTATGGGTCCATCTTTATTTGTGCAATGGTTACATTGAGTTCTCCTACCTTGAGAACCGTTTATTAATGCTCATGCGAAAATGGTTATGATATAATAATAATAATAATAATAATAATAATAATAATAATAATAATAATAATAATAATAATAAAAAAAAGTTGGAAGGGACCTCAGAGGTCATCTAGTCCAACCCCCTGCTCAGGCAGGAAACCCTATATCATTTCAGACAAATGGCTGTCCAGTCTCTTCTTAAAAACTTCCAGTGTTGGAGCATTCACAACTTCTGGAGGCAGGTTGTTCCACTGGTTAATTGTTCTAACTGTCAGGAAGTTTCTCCTTAGTTCTAGGTTGCTTCTCTCCTTGGTTAGTGTCCATCCATTGCTTCTTGTCCTGCCTTCAGGCACTTTGGAGAATAGCTTGACTCCCTCTTCTTTGTGGCAGCCCCTGAGATACTGGAAGACAGCTAGCATATCCCCCTCGTCCTTCTCTTCATTAAACTAGACATCCCCAATTCCAGCAACCTTTCCTTATATGCTTTAGCCTCCAGTCCCCTGATCATCTTTGTTGCTCTTCTCTGTACTCTTTCTAAAGTCTCAGCATCTTTTTTAGATCCTGGTGACCAAAACTGGATGCAGTATTCCAAGTGTGGCCTTGGCATTGTAAAGTGGTATAGGCACTTGTAAAGTGGTATAGTCGTTGAGCCCCTGTCATGGTCAGATCACTCTCTCCTTCGGCTGGCCTTTCCTACCGCTACGCCCCACCACGGGGAGGCAGAACCAGAAGTGACAAAATGGTTCCGCCCCAGGCGCCTGATGGACCCTGAGAGGTTCCAGACGGAGCTTGGGCCAATACCTGAGACCTTGACACGCGGCTCGACTGAGGACCTGGTGGCCGCCTGGAATGGTGCGGCCGCGGAGGCCCTGGACCGGGTCGTGCCTTTGCGGCCCCTCACCCGATGCCGGTCTACCTTGGCTCCTTGGTTCTCCGAGGAGCTGAGGGTGATGAAGCGTCGGAAGAGATGCCTAGAGAGTAATTGGAGGGCCACCCGCTCCGAATCTGATCAGAAATTGGTAAAATCCCATTTAAGGACTTACCTAGTAGCGATAAGAGCGGCGAAACAAAACTATTTCTCCACTCTTATCGCGTCTGCA